AATTTCAATAATCCTTTAACCCCCCTACGGAAATAAATAAATAAATGCAAGAGAAAAATATAGATCCGAAAGTCGCTGAATCGAGAAAAGGATCTAATAGCTCTGATGGAAGAGCAGTCGCCCGGCAAGCGAAAGGTCTCGGGTTCGTTTCCCGATTCAGCGACTTTCGGATCTATATTTTTCTCTTGCATGCATACAACATATGCATGGTATATATATTTGTATAACACAATAAAAAATAACAATATAACAACATGCATAATCTAACATTAAAATAATATAACAAATATAAAAATAAAGATGACATTTTCAAAATTATTATTATTTATAAAAACATTACTTATTAGTATTACTATTAAATATATTATAATTTTAAACAATGTAAATGGCAAGGAGACCTGTTTAATAAGGTGTTAGTGTTTACAAATAATATTTCAATATAAAGAATTTAAAATACAGACGTTTCGATTTAATTTCAGATCATCTTTAATGTAAAATCTTCAGGAAAAGTTCTTCTGAATACAATAAGTGACACTAACGCTCGCAAATTATATTTTGAGTTAATGGCAACTAAAAAAATTAAAACAACTCAAATCAGATAAAGATATAATAAAATACATAAAAATACATTAAAAATTCGCAAATCAACAGTACATACGTGATAGCCAGTGGAGAAAAACGTATGTATTCAACATCTTAAAACAATCGCTAGTTATATAACCTTAGATAAAAATTAAGTAAAACGATTTATAGTAAACGTTTAATTTACGAATATATGTCAGCTACAATTGACAGTCGAAGAACAAATATAAGATAGAACAACAAATAAATTTAGCATAAAGTGGTAATGACAAGGAAAATAATATAAAGAAAGAGAAAAAGGAAATTAGAGGGAATTAAATAATCTCAGAATAGGAAGATAATCTTCTGATAATCCTTCGATATTATTGTGTCGATTTAAAGCAAACTTTTGATTCATGATGTGAATCATTTCTGATATTAATCTTTTTCTGCATGAACGTTCTTTATTAAGGATTTTAACGCGTTCCCAATCAATTTCATGACTGGTGTCTAAACGATGACTGGGAATAACAGAAACTAACTCTGATTTTTTATTAATATTGTTGCGATGTTCTTTTATTCTTGTGTTCAATTGTCGTTTTGTTTGGCCGACGTACGTGGCATCACATTCTTTGCAGGGAATTCTATAAACAGCCTCACTATTAGACCAGAAATTAATGGGGTCTTTTCCAGATTGAATAAACTTATTTAAAGAATGTGAGATTGTGTATGATACGCGGAGTTCAAACTTTTTAATTAAGTTAAAAAAATTATCAGAAATACCTCGAACATATAGAATCGTAATAAATCATCATCATTTTTACGTTTCGTACCATTGCCATTCATAAATGTTTTATGCTTTAAACGATTATTAATGGTTGAAAAAATGAAATCTAAAGGATAACAATTCTCTAAAAGAATTTGAATCACAAACCGCATGTTATCTTCCTCTTCGTTTGAACGCCAACATTTGACGCGTTCACTATTGTTTTTACTAACCGCAACACGACTTGTTCTCTTTTTCCTATTAGCAATTTTAAGATCGACATTAAAAACTTTATTGTACGCTCCTTGTAAATATTCGATTTAATGTATACACTGAAGATGATCTCGAGACAGATTGAAACGTTTGTTATTTTGGAATTGAATATATTGTTTTAACACGTACATACATCCTGTCACAACTCTTTCGTTTACATTCCGTTTAATTTTAACGATTGTCTGACACTAACTATTATTTTAATTTATTTTTAATTATTGTTTTACATTATTATTATTATAATGTTAATTATATTTATATTTATAGTTTTTAGTTTTTAAATATATATTTTACAGTATCACAAGCATTAAATCAAATTTTTATGAAATGTTCAATAACAAATTAAATAAAACTATTACATACGGTTTATTAACTGATGGGACATTTAAAGTGGAAGTTCATATTATTAACACAAATGAAAAATATTTTGAATTACAAATATTTAAAAAAGTGATAAAGATTAAGTTGATACCATGTATTCGGCAGATATAAAAAGAAAAATATTTATATTAATAATAAATAAATAAATAAATAAATACATAAATAATTATATATATATATATATATATATATATATATATATATATACACACAATAGTCAATAAAAAAATTTTTAACATTCTACTGAAAATTTACAAAGAATCCCGCAAACTTATGGAAAATAGCTCTCATTCGATTTGCCTGAAATTGAAGTATATATTGCTGTTCATGACCTACTGATGAAATGTTCTCACAGGCGCAACTCGAAATAATGAGTCAGTTTCAAGCTATAGAGCTCTGAAGTCGTCAACATACAAAATACATTAAGGATTTGTTTAAATAATATTGTAAATGCGGAGCGAAGTTTGCGATGTATATTTAGAAGTGTTTTTTGATTTACTCTTTGACACACAAAAAGGTTCGGAGATTTTTAAAGCGTGTTCTTGTGGATGTTTTTATGCTGATTAAGAATCCGGCCGCGAAAATTGCGTATCACGTTAGGTTTTTAAATATCTTGATCTAAAGATGCGAAAAAGAGTATTTTATACACTTTTCCGTAAAATGTAGCCCTTAATTGGTACGTGATAAAAAGTGGTACAACGGTTCAAAATAAAACTTAAGATTTCGCACTTATGTAAAAAAAATATAAAAAAGGTCGAATCTATAAAGAGTTAATCTATAAATAATTATTTATCAGTGATTGAAGAAATTTTTACATATTAATATTTGTGAAAAAAGTGAACCATTCTAATAATAAATAATAAGAAATAATTATCTATCAGAGATTGAAGAAATTTTTACATATTAATATTTGTAAAAAAAATGAACAATTCTACCGAACCTCTAAAGACTTTGTATTAGTATAAGGAAAAGTACGAAAAATGATATTTTCAATTATTTAATTTAGTTTTTTTAATAAACTCTCTATAGGTTCAACCTTTTTTATATTTTTTACATAAACTACGAGTATTAAGTTTTATTTTGAACCGTTTTAGCATTTTTTATCACGTCCCAATTAAAAGCTATATTTTACGGAAAAGTGTCTAAAATGCACTTTTTAGCATTTTTAGATCAAGATATGTAAAAAATCTGACGTGATACGCAATTGTGGCGGTCGGACTCGTAATGAAACAATCTATAGGAATACGCTTTGGAAATCTTTGAATCTGAAAACAGTCATTTTTTGTCGACCAGTGTTATTAGTACTATTTATATTTATTTTTATTGTAATTATTCTCACTGAACAATATTATTTCTTCAGAATATATAAGTACCACCAAACTGATAGAGTTATATTAATATATATAAATTATTAAATTATTAATAAATTATATTAATATAATTGTTAACTTCAACAAAATCATATAAATAAATATAATTATTGAATATTTGACATTTCAACTATTGATATTCATCTAACATTAACGCCGAATGTGAATATATTATTTGAATAAATTACCTGAATTGTCATCGTTAATTAAGCATAATATATACTCTATACACTAATAGGTTGAGAGGCAAGGAGACTAAACTTATATAATCAAGCACCTCAAAGGTATTATATTCTCAAAACGTCCTTGTCGTTGATCTTGATTAACGCCAATATTGAAAATAAATATTGACAATTTATAACACTACGGTGAAATATAAGAAATAATAATATTCCCAAATGAACAAAGTGTGCTTGAAGCAAGAAAATGGTAAATTTTGACTTTCGGCACTTGAAAACAGGACTAATTGTAACCAATCTAATTGTGCGCGCACATAAACAAGAGGCTTGTTTTCTGTTCCTGCACTAATAAACTAGTGTACACTGGTGTAATAAGTTAGAATGTGACAAATATATTTTGTCTCACTCTAACTTATTGCACCAGTATGCACTAGTTTATTAGTGCAGAAACAAAAAACAAGCCTAAATACAGACACATACACATGCACACACGCGCTTACAATATCATTTGCACAAATCCTTAACATATTTCGTATGTTAACGACTTCAGGGTCCTGTAGCTCGAAATTGACCCATTATTTCGAGTTGCGCCTGTAAGACCATTTCATCAGTAGGTCATGAACAGCAACATACTTAAATTACAGACAAATCGACTGAGTCATTTCCCATTTTGCGAAATCCTTTGTGACTTAATATATTTTACCTTTGAGAGACGCTAATACACACACATGCACACGATATATTTATTTATATAAACTATATTATTATACACGATATCCTCGAATTCGCGGATCAACTCTCGTAGGTAAATAAACCGTGTTAAACTGAAGAGAAAAGTTTTATATCATTTTGCTAAATTCGCAATAATTATTGAGTTATTGATTAAAATATCTGAGCGAATAAGCGGGTAGAAAGCGGTGCCTGGGCCAGATTCGGTGGGCATGTCGGATGACTTATTTGTTTAAGTCGCTTAGTAACAAAAGCATTATCTGATCGAGAGGCGACGCCATGCAGCAAGCGGCAAGCAATGTAGCCACGCCGAAAAGTAAGATGATACTTTTGTTACTAAGCGATATATAACAAATAAGCCATCCGACATGCCCGAGTCCGGCCTACTGCTTTCCACCCGCTCATTCGCTTAGATATTTTAATCAATAACTCAATAATTATTGCAAATTTCGCAAAATGATATAAGACTTCTTCAGTTCTCTCTTCAGTTTTAACACGCTCTAACTACCCACGAGAGTTGATCTGCTAATTCGGGGACGCTCTGTATATATTTATTTTTTTCCAAAGAATAGTTGATCAACCATGCTTAATTGTAAATAATTTGACTGATACGAAAGAAATACAAGGGCATATGTCATTATCGAAATTGTTAAAAGGAATGTGAATGCCGAAAAAGAGAATTCTACAAGAAACTACGCAAGAGGTAAATTTATATATGTAATTATAATGATTCTTACTGACCGTTCGTAATTTCACAACTTTTGTATTCGGTAAACTTTCTCACATGTTCTTATATTTCTTCCTTTCATCAATATTTTTCGGCATTACCTCTTCCTCTTCTATTTCATATCCTCCGTAATCTTCAAAATCTTTTCTCTCGATTCTGCCACGTATTTCTTCTCGATATCAATATTCTTCTTCGTTATCTATATATTCTTCTCAGCGCCGCGATTTTTTTTATTGTTGATCGATTTGTTCTTGAAGAGAAACAATATTTCTTTCTCTGACTTGGCAGAACCTTGTTGTTGCAATCTCGGTACGTCCTTCATCTCTTTTTGTATCTGCTTCTCGAATTAGTGTGCCTTTTCCGTCATCGGATATTCTACATACATAATATTCTTTTTATTCTTTTATATTATAAAAATATGAAAATGATTATTTTATTATTTATTTTATATTAAATATTAAATTTTATATTAAATATTAATTTTATATTAAATATTTTATTGTCATATATTTTGACATCAAATTTAAAGTATCGGAAATATATTTTTTTTTATTATCCTATCTTTAATATTTTTATACACGGAATAATAAAATAAACCTTAATTTATAAATATTACATATACATATAAGTAAAAGAGATATATTATTGTTGTACATGTAATTAGTGTACATATTACATGTAACACACATATAAATTAGTTACAATTAATAGACATGTTCGTATATACTGCTAGTACTGAAAATCTCTAATACATTTAATGTAAACTATGGTTTTCAATACTAGCAGTGTATAACGGAATATGTATAATATGTAGGAATAAGTAAAGTATAAAACATCAAACAATTATAAATCTGTTTCTTTTATATAGATGTATATATATAATATAGTTATAACTGTTTATATTGTAATTATATTCTAGAATATAGCACAATGATTTATCATATTAGGTAATATTTCCACTACACTGCTAGTACCAAAGATCTATAGTTTACGTTACATATATTATAAACTGTCATTATCATTAACATATATTTGATTGCAATTAGTAGACATATTCCGATATACTTCATACTGGAATCTCTAATATATCTAACGTAGTTTAGAGACTTTCAATACAGGCAGTGTATAGCAGAATATCTAATATCTGGGATATATTACAATATATCACAAAATAACATATACAACAATTATATACTGTTTATTATCTGTTTCATAATAGATATATTTATATATAATATATGCTATAATGTAAAATACATACCAATAATTAAATCTATAGTTCATTAGATATATTAGATTATTTCAATACTGGTTTCAATACTGGTTATATTGAAAATCTATAGTTTACATTAGATATATTAGATATTTTCAGTACTGGTTATATATCAGAGTATGTGTAATAATTTCAATCTATATAATCTGGGATATAATACAATATAATACAACAAAAGCAATCATATAAACAACAATTATATATATTTCTATATTAATACAAGCATTACATAAATAGTATATATATATCTAAATAATATTATAATACAACTTGCTACCATATTAATATAATATATAGTTATATAATAATTTTAGATTGTTTCTTATATATTTTCATATTATCAATGAATATCTAGTAGATTATAATTTAGATAATTAGCGCTTAATATTGTATAGACTTATTTATATTATAACATATAAGATTGTCAATATAATGTTTGTTACATGTAACATGCATGTTAGTTACAAATATAGCTAAACAATTAACCCAGGCAAACACAATAATATAAAATGTTATATACTCAAGCATGTTACATGTAAACGTATATGTTAGTTGTAATTTCCCACTTATAGATGTAACATTTTTAATATTCCATATATTACATTGTAGTTTATTGTCATTATATCCCAAGATAGCACTGACTTATCAATACATCAATGTGCTTTTTGGTATATAATTACAATATAACTACAATGTAATATATGTTATATTAAAATGTTACATCTATGAGTGGGAAATTACAACTAACATGGATGTTACATGTAACCTACACGTTATATTACCTGTTATATTCCGTTTTATTATAGCAATGTAACAATTATATATCGGTGTTTGCTGGGTTAGAGATTATCAGTACTAGCAGTATATCAGAACATATATATTAATTACACTAACATATATATGTTATATATAATATTTGCATTTTAATTACCATATATATTGTACAAAAATTATATATCTGTGAGATGATGTAAGTTGGGTGGCCAAAAATCAATATTCACGTGTATAATACCGTTTTACATGCCGATCTACTTCTTTTCTTTATACTACTTATCACCTATACCTCTATCCATACCCATGTACATACCATATAGTTTCCCTGTAAAAATAAAATGTTATATCTGAATATTGTATATTTATTCTTTTTTTTTTCTTCTTATTTGTTACATGATTCAAAACGTGTTTCATTAACTACATTTACACAACAGCTAATATTCTGATTTAGTAACTCCTGTATTTTATTTGATTCAAAATTTGTATTTTTTTAATCAAAATGATTACTTAAATATAAGCTTCTTTTAATACTATTTGGAAAAAAAATGTTTTATCTCTCTTCACATTGTTTTAGTCATTGATCAGTATGGAAATTATTGGATTACTGATGTAGTTATGCATCAGGTATTTACATTTAGTACTCAAAATATAGTAAATCATATAGAAGAATTGAAACATACACCATTTAATTCAATGATTGGGTTCTTTTGCAATAACACTAATGCATTATATCCCAGCAAAACAACCGACGATATATATTTGTTATATATTGCTATAATAAAACGAATAACAGATAATATAACGTGTACGTTACATGTAACATCTATGTTAGTTGTAATTTCCCACTCATAGACGTAACATTTTAATATAACATATATTATATTGTAGTTATATTGTAATTATATACCAAATAGCACATTGATGTATTGATAAGTCAGTGCTATCTTGGGATATAATGACAATATAACTACAATGTAATATATGTAATATTAAAAATGTTACATCTATGAGTGGAAAATTACAACTAACATATACGTTACATGTAACATGCTTAGTATATAACATTTATATACTGTGCTGGTTTTGTTTCAAATGTTTAGAATATCAAAATAAACTTATCATATTTAAATATTCAATTATTATAATCAAGAAAAAAATTTTTTGATCAAATAATATATGTATAGTAATTAGTATATGGTAATTCAATCAGAGAGATTATAAACATAGTCATTAAGCTATTAATAAAAAGATAGTATTACTTAGAATACGAGCCTCATCTAAAAAATCAATAAATTATGTATATTCGATGCGTTTTTGACCAAAAAGAAGAATCTAGCGGAAAAAAGTGATATGCTTCGCGAAGCGAAATATATTATTAATTGTTAAAGTTGACAGGTTTCTAGGTTAAGAAACCTGTCATATCGACACGATATGCATATTGTCTATACTCGTATGCACATGCTCTGTAGTCACATGCGTTTTTGTTACTTTTCACAATTTCAATGCTTTTCACTTCCAAAAATAATGATTTGAGGATGTGTACACACATACGGTGAGATACAAGGGATCCTACGGCTTCGGCCCTTTCTTCCGTACCCAACCACGGCACAGTATAAGTATATACAGTAGCGGCACTTCGCAATTTTATGCGTCTCCAATTTGTATGCGTCAGTTTATCCTACAAGAATATGGCTGCCCCCGTGTATTGGAGCCTAACTCTACGCGATCTCGGTGACTCGGTACTTGGATTAGTACCCCCGTACGAAAAAAAGACTACAAGAATATGAAAGAATTCGAAATTTAAATTTTGTTTTACTAATTTTATAAAAATATTTTCGTTACAGTCTATTTTATTTCATCTTTTCTAAATAAATATAAATAAATTTATATACATGTATTTTACACAGTATCAATTTCCTCGCAATTTTTTATTTCAGATAACAATTGGTTAGTAATAATACATTTTGTGATCAATCAATTGTGTTAAAAATGTATTATTAAATGTTATAATAAGATATTTCTAGTGCAATAAATTACAATAAAATAAATATATTTTCTCTCATTCTAACTTATTGCACTAGTTTAGAAATGCAGCGAAAACGAACGAGCCTAATATTTTCGTAGCTTATCTAACATTTAAACTCTAGCGCGCATATACTCTTTTCAAAATAGCAACAGATCATATGTAACTTGAAACATTTACATCAAAGGTGCCGACGCTAAAATGCAATTTCACGTCCGCTAAAATAAGTGATTGAAGCAACAGATTTGTCGCTCATAATTCAGCAACAATTTTGTAGTTTGAATTAGTTCAACTACAAAGCATTTACTGCTCAAACGCTCAACTTTCAATTCTGTCGTGCTGCTATCTTTTTCATCTACAAAAATTATGGTTATTTAGTTCAGCGACAAAAGTTACGTGATCATTTTTGTTACTCAAACAATCGGTTTCAGCGGCTCGTGAAAAGGCACCTTAAAGCGGGGAGCACACACTCTTGCATAAGCGTATAAGCATATGCATAAGAAATTCGATTGGTTGAATTTCTTATACATACGTTTACAGACCAATCAAGATTCTCATGTTTACGCTTATGCGCCTATGCAAAAGTGTGGCTCTCCGCTTAAGTGCCGCTACTGTATATACTTATACTGTGATTCAAGTCTTTGGCTATCTGTCTATTAGAAGCACGGTTCTCGGTACCCCGCGAATCGCACGAGCTGGGATACTTTGTTATAGTTTACGTCACGTATACTGTACTATCTATAGCATTTCAGAACAGTTACGTGACGTAAACTATAGCAAAAGTAACCCAGCTCGTGCGACTCGCGGGTACCGAGAACTGTGCTTTACTCGTCTATGTTCTTTGTGTGATTAATCGTGTCGAGTAAGGCAGTGAGACCTTAGCAAAGTTTAGTCAATAAAATGAACGCATTATCGTGATAAAAAGTTTTAAGTTATCGTGATAAATAGTTTAAGAGAAGAGACAAAAAGTCAGCATATACAAGCACGTGAGTACTTGCCTGTGACCATTTAATCTAACTTTTCGTGTATTATTGCATATTTTTTTCATACTGTGAAAGAAATAGATTCAGTAATTAGCAAAAAATCAAGATTATTAATAAAATAAATATATCAAAATCATATCATTTACATTGCTAATCAATGCAAATAATATCTTTGGTAATTATTATTTAGAATACCGGCCTCACCTCAAAAATCAATAAAATTTGCTTATGCGACACGTTTTTGCCGGTAGGGGTGCTTAGTGTCCCTATTTCTAGAGACTCTAGGAGTTCCCTACCGTGGGTAGGTGCGGACACAGATTAATAGACAGATCGCCAAAGGTCTGGATGAAGAGAGACCAGCATTTCTCACTGATTTCAGCGCCATATCGTAGTAGTGGTCAATACAGTAACTATTAATACATTCCCAAGATAAGAGCGTCTCATGCTCATGAACTCGTCCGGCGGCATGTACGAGATTTATCTTTTCGTAGCGTTCGCGTATTTCGGAAAGGACAGAATTTTATGATGTTATAAATAAATAAATAAATAAAATATTAACCTGACCTATTATAATTATTTTTTAATAAATGTTTCATTATTATTATCATCTAAGTCTAAGTCGTTTAATTAATTTTTAGTTTTTAATAATTAATTTAATTTATTCTAATCATTTTAATATGTGAAAAATACTAATACGTATACGTTTTTATAATGAATTAATATATTTCGAGAGTCGAATTATATATTTTTATAATATAAAAGTGTTCAAAATTATTATTTGACTTTTAATTTTATTATTTTAGCAAAGAGTTCCGAAATCTCTTACACACATAATAGGGATTTTGTTCATCCATATAATTCGCAATTAAGTATATATGTTAATTATTAATTTTAATAAAATACAAAATTAAAATTAAAGGTCAAATATAATTTTTGAACATAAATATATTTATTCGTTATAAAACGTATACCCGTGATAGTATTTTCTCGTACAAAAATAACTAGAATAAATTAAATTACTCATAAAAAAATAAAAAAATAATTAAATAATTATATTATATATGATAATAATAAAACATTTTATAAAAAAAACAGATTCAATAAATATAAGTATATATATAACTGTACTTATATTTATTGAATCTGTTTTTTAATAAAATGTTTTATAAGCTTAGAAAACTTGACTTTGACGTAACTAGCAAATTTTATTTAATTATTTCACGACGGTTTGACGTAATAAAATGTTTTATTATATTATATAAAATATAAGTTTAAATTCTTTAATTAATTTTTAATCTTTTATGATTAATTTAATTTACTCTAATTATTTTTGTACGAGAAAAATACTATCATGGGTATACGTTTTATAATTAATTTAATTATTTGTGTTTAAAAATTATATTTGACCTTTAATTTTAATTTTTATTTTATTAAAATTAATAATTAACATATATACTTAATTGCGAATTATATGGATGAAAAAAATCCCCATTATGTGTGTAAGAGATTTCGGAACTCTTTGCTAAAAAATAATTAAAATTAAAAGTCAAATATAATTTTTGAACACTTTTATATTATTAAGAATATATAATTCGGTTCCCGAAATATATTAATTCATTATAAAACGTATACGTGATATTATTTTTCTCATATAAAAATGACTAGAATAAATTAAATTAATTATTAAAAAACTAAAAGTAATTAAACGACTTAGACTTAGATGATAATAATAATGAAACATTTTATTTAAAAAGATTCAATAACTAGTAGGTCAGGTTTATAATTTTTTATTTATTTATTTATAACATTATGAGCTATTAAGCTCATCATCTCGTTCGCTCTCTGTCTTGCTTTCATTCGGCAAGTCACAACGATATATGATACTCGTATGTTCCTACTTCAACTCTCGAGAATTTGAAACAAACGAAACTCTTGTCCAATATACAGGGTGTCCGGTAACTAACAGACCAATGATTACAAATGGATTTTTGGTCAATTTGGGAACGATTTTTCCTCAGCGAAAATGTCGAAAAAGGTCATCATTTTTTACAACTTTCCAATCTTTGTCATTATGTATCTTATAACTAAGCCTTAAATTAAAATTTTATTATAGTAAATTCTACCTGAAATTAACTGAAGAATGTAATTATGTTAGACTTTTAACTCCAAAACGTTTAGTTTTCAAAAAACCTATTTTTTTCAATCGCTATAACTCGAAAATTATTGACTTCTCAACATTTTTGCTAAGGAAAAATCGTCTCCAAATTGGCCCGAGAATCCGCCCTTAATCATTGGTCCGTTAGTTACCGGA